AGTCATTGGAGGGGATTTTAATGGTACACGATCAGGGTAAATGTTAGATATGATTGATGTGTGTGACTTTATGGACCTAGGCGCCTTAGGGAGTAGATTTACATGGGAACGAAGAACAAATGGAACATTAACTACTGCCAAAAGACTTGACAGAGCCCTAGGGGATGTTGTTTGGAGACACCTTTTTCCAGAAGCCTTTGTAGAAAAACTGTCGTGAGTATACTCATATCATTGCCCACTGTTACTTAGATGCCATGTTCTGACAAAGGACCATAGAGCTCGCCCATTTCGATTCCATGCAGCTTGGGCAACACATCCATCCTTTGAACCTTTACTGCAACGTACCTGGGTAAAGCCCCCCAGTTCTTTGGTTGGCAAGTTGAGCATGGTGAAAGACATTTCTCTTAAATTCAATAAGGAAATATTTGGAAGTATCCACAAGCGGAAAAAGCGAGTTGAGCAAAGACTGAAAGGTGTTCAATGAGAGATTGAATGGAGAGAGACAGATTCAACATTCCGACTAGAGAGGTCATTAAGAGAGGAGTATGAGCACATCCTGATGCATGAGGAGTTGATGTGGTACCAAAAATCTCAGGAAAACTGGGTCAAATTTGGTGACCGCAACACTAAATTCTTTCACACTCAAACACTTGTTAGGAGGAAAAGAAATAATATCCATGGTCTATTTGTGGGATAAAATACTTGGTGTACTGATATGGAGGTCCTGAAGGAGGAGGCACAACTATATTTTACTAACCTTTTTTCTATTGATGCATGGGTTAGCAGGTTCCATATTCTGGAGAACACAACGCCAACCATCTCAGAGGTGGACAGAACTAAACTCCCCCGTCCAGTTTCCTTGAATGAAGTCCGGTGTGCTATTATGTCTATGCACTCTTTCAAAGCCCCCGGTGCGGATGGATTCCAAGCGTTCTTCTTCAAGCGATATTGGCATATCTTGGGTCATGATCTTCGCAATATGGTTGCATGGGCCTTTCGTGCAGGAAAAGTTGATTCCAATCTCCTTAAGCCTTTAATTTTCCTTATTCCTAAAGTGGAGGACCCCCTCCGATTTAAGGATCTAAGACCAATAAGCCTTTGCAACGTGGCATATAAAGTGATAACCAAAGTGTTGGTGAACAGATTCCGACCACTCTTGGTGGATTCTCGTGGGACCTTTGCAAGCAAGTTTCATCCCTGGCAGAGACACAAAGGATAACATTATTCTTGCCCAAGAAGTAATGCACACAATTCATACGCACAGGAAGGGCGAGGGGCTGGTGGCCTTGAAGATCGATCTTGAAAAGGCTTATGACAGGGTTAGTTGGGATTTTCTGCGCTCTACATTATATGACTTTGGTCCCCCCCACCCCCCACCCCCCCACCCCCCCACCCCCGTTACAGTGAGCTTGATCATGTGGGGAGTTCAAGATGCTAGTATTTCTATCCTTTGGAACGGCTCCAAACTCCCATCCTTCACTCCACAAAGAGGGCTTCATCAAGGTGATCCCCTCTCACCTTATCTTTTTATTCTTTATATGGAGCATCTTGCAATCGAAATCCAAAGGCAATTGAATGAGGGATCTTGGCAGCCAGTGAAAATTACAAAAAAGGGTATTGGCATTTCACATCTCTTTTTTGCAGATGATGTTTTACTATTTTGCAAAGCCAATAAGACACAAATGCAATTAATAGAAAAAAACCTCAAGGCTTTCTGTGAGGTGTCTGGCATGAAAGTAAAGTTAGAGAAATCAAGGATGTATTGCTCTAATAATATTGATCCTCTTATTCAACAAGAGCTTTTTGATATCATAGGCATTAGCAGGGTAAGTGATTTCGGTAACTACCTCGGGTTACCCCTTATAAAAGGAAGAGTCACCAGGGATAAATTTACCCCTATAATTGATAAAGTAAATACTAGGTTGGCTTCTTGGAAACACAAACTTCTTAATAAAGCGAGCAGATTGTGTTTAGCTAAATGCCTAAATCTGTTCTTTCATCACTTACGGTCTACTCTATGCAGTCCCTATGGCTTCATGAGTCTACTTGTGACTACGTAGACAAGAGGATACGGAGATGCATATGGGCCAAAGGTGTCCACTCTCGAGGATGGAACCTAGTTTCATGGAGGGAGGTGAGATGCTCTAAAATGGATGGGGCACTGGGTGTGCGCACCACACGCTTCAATAATGTAGCATTGTTTGGTAAGTTGGTGGATAATCTTCTTCATGATAATGGAAAATTGTGGGTCAAAGCTTTTAACAACCCAGCTCATTATTTGGCTGAGGCCCATGGGGATATTCTTCAAGTTTTTAACAGCCCAAATCATCTTCCAATCCATGCTAAGAGAGCCTTCTGGATGGACTACTTCGGGCTTCCCTCTTTTAGATACTGATGATGTTTTGGTCCGGTTTTTAGCTGGGCTATTTTTCGTTATTTGGCTTTTTCGTTGTATTTTATAAATTGGGTCAGGCCTAGCCCCCCCCCCCCCCCCCCCCAATTTATATATGTTTTTAATTTTATTACATACGATGTACTTCGAGTAGGTATGCCTTCTCTGGAGAGGTTTTGGTCTAGTCCCTATCTCATATTGTTCATTTCTTTAAATTTTAATAAAACCTGGAAAATGTTCCCCGGCATTTGCCCCACTGATTTTGGTGGTTTGCCTTCCGGGTTAAAAAAATTGTGGGTCAAAGCTTTGTCGGAAAAATATTTGCATAACAATTTTATTTTAGCATGTGACTATAAGCAAGGGGACTCCTACATATGGAAGAGCATCATTACAGCTAAGAATAACATTGTGCATGGCTTTGGGGCACTTTTGGGTAATGGGGAATCATCCTTTTGGTATGACAATTGGCTTGGCACTAGGAAAATCTGTGATCGGGTTCCCTTTGTCCATATTTCAGATTCTTCGCTCAAAATATCAGACTTGTGGAAACATGGAGCTTGGTGTCTTCACATGTTATCAACCTCCCCGTCACCCCAAACTAAATCTGAAATATGGCAAGTTTGGGTTCCATTAAATCATGTCGGCCACGATATTGTACAATGGGGAGAGACAAATAACGGCTCCTATACTACACAGTCGGCATATGCAATGTTAGCTGGGTATCACATGACAAATCATCACCCTTGCTGGAAACATATTTAGAGGAGTACGGTGCCAGAGAAAATCAGATTCTTCCTTTGGTTAATTGCGAAGGAGGCTCTTCCAACGAATAGCAAATGACACCACAACCACCTATGTTCCTCGGCGGCTTGTTCCAGATGTGGTGCAGAGTATGAAAATGTGGATCATGTTTTTCGGGGTTGCACATACTCTCAATTCCTTTGGTGTCACTTTGAACCCGTCCTTCCTCCACTATCTTTGCACGATCCTTTTCATCTTTGGTTCAGAAAGATCATTTCTCAGAGGGAGCACGTCCTCGTGGTGTTTGTAATGTGGTGGGTTTGGCATTGGAGGAACAACATCATTTTCAGTGAAAGACCATGGCATATGAACTATGTCTTGAGGCAGATTTTGATGGACGTCAACACTTGGCAACGTTTGTCAGAGAGCTTGCCTTGCCCATCGTCGCAGTAGGTCCCGGGTCAACAACATCCGTCAAGCATGATCCATATTTTTGTGGATGGCAGTTGGAATCCGAGAGTTTCGAGGATGGGGTGTGGTGCAATAGTTAAGGACGCTTCAAATCGTTGGATTTCCGAAGTATCTGTGAGCCATGGTGTTGGTCGGCTTTTATGGCAGAGTTGTTGGCTACTGAACTTGGCATGCAACATGGATGGGATCTTGGTTATCGTGATATTGTTTGTTTCTCGGACTGCAACAATGTCGTTGAAATCCTTCAAAATGATGACGATGTGAGATATTTTTGGGCAAGAGATATTATATGTAGGGTCCGTGACATGATAACTTGGGACTGGAGTGTTTTGATTGTTCATATCCGACGGGATAGAAATAATGTTGTCGATTGGTTGGCTCACCAAGCTTTGAGTGCTAATGCTCCTTACTGTGTTTGGGTTCACCCCCCTTCGAAATTAATTGTGCCCCTGCTCCAGGATATTCCAGTTTAGTTATGTGTTTGTTGTTTCTTTATTCCTGATTTCCTGATGTAACCCAAAAAAAATTACCAAAAAGGCCATCAAGTTTAAAACTGAGAAGAGGTAGTGTGATTGGATACATAATGGATATTCAAACCACACATATTAATGATGCTAAAAACAGTATACAATGTTTTTGAAAAGCTAAAAAAATGCAATGACAAAAAATAGCTACTTAAAAAATGCAATGACAATTTTTTTAAAATAAAAAATAGCCGTTGGCCCGAACCGACCGGGCCGGGCCTCCAATTTTCAGAACCGTGCCCGAACCGCTCCCCTCCACAGGGCCGGGTCAAAGCCCGCACCGCCCTATCCTTAACCGGGCCGGGCCGAGCCCGCACAGTGCCGGGCCGGTTTGGTCCATCCCTAATTATAGTGCAGATGAAGTAAAATACAGACTCTTACTTACGTACGTATAGTGCATATAAATAAATATATACATCAGACTTCATCATCTCTTAAAGGAGTTAAAGCTCTTCCATTTCATCTAGAACTTCTAGCGTGTTATGTAACTACACCAAGTATTTTATTTTTTCCCATCCAAATCATGTCTTATGAGGAGCTTCAATTCAATTCATATCATACAAAATTGACAACTAGTTGTGATCTTGAACTACTAAAAAGAATCTTTTGAAGCTTGCTGTGTTTGGGTCTTCATACTTTCATCATCTCCTTGAGGAAAAAAAGATGGTTTTTTCTTGTTATATGCAATGACAAGAAAATAGCCTGGCATTTTGTGCTTAATTGCCATTGTGGATCAATACACACCTAAAAGGGCATTTTCACTTTACACACTTAGTACCATTGTTCATTTTTTAAATGTGCACTTTCTTTAGATGAACGGATTTTATAATGTACAGACTACAGAGTTGGCACGAAAACAACTTTCAAAATTTCTTCATTACATGTGCAAAGAAAATCAATGGCATTTTCCATTGACAGGCATACAATACAATTGTTAGATGGGCCGATATCCAAATAGATGCTGATTATGCATTCACGCATGTTTTATAATGAAAGAACCCCATTACAGATATTGAACAAAACTAAATCATACATTCACTCAGTACGCACACAGGTCATTACCAGTTAACAATTGCTCAAAAAGTACTAGGAAAAATATCTAATAAAGAAACCATGATGCATGAGGTGAAAGTGTACAATAAGATTAAGCACAAAATGAAAATAAGACAATACAAGGCTTCAAGCAATCCTAAAGTTTGAGTTCAGCATAAGACGCTGCTGCTGCTGCTACAAATCTATGAAGTTGGCTTTTGCTTCTTGGGCATCCTGTAACCGCCAACAACACAAGCATGATCACGCTCAAACGGTTCAAGGGTAACCTGCTCACTTGGCTTGAATTGATCTGCTTGCAGCTTCTTAACCTCTTGTGCAAATACAGCCTCAGCAGGTACAGTGCTATCTATGCAATTAGCCTGAGAAATACATAAGAAGTTAACATGGAGAGTAGCAGTGGGCTGATACAAAAGAGCAGCCACAAATAAAAGATTAGCCATCACTTTCCTTTCTCCGTATCCAAAGAAACAAACCTTTATGGAAATGACAAAATGCCCTTCAGCTTTCAAAAAGTAGGAGGCATTTAGTGCTAAAATCCTTGCCTATAAATAAGAAAAGAACAAGACTGTCTTATTAAAACTGATCAGCATATAAAATGAAAATCACGAAGAAATATGATCACTTTGAGCCACAACCTCACTTGCGGTATTCAACCGCCATATTTCATCACAATAGCAGAACCATGCCACTTCTGATCAGTAGTGCTACTACTGAACTAGGACCATTATTTTTTTCCAAAACATCATTAATTCACTCCGGGTCCCAGAAAAGATTATGGTTTTACTATTTAATTAATTGAGGCTAAATAAGCCCCACTTTGGGAACAAACATCAACTTGTGATATTTGTCCATATTTTACAATCAGTTGGCAGAATTTCATTTGAGATAAATATCAGAAAACCATGTACTTCTAGGTACAGTGGCTAATTAAGTTTAAGAAATTTTTATAAATGAAATCTATGGTTAACACAAATATATATTTATCCAACACCATCTAGTGAGTCAATGTGTTAGAAATTAATAACGTAAAAGACAAGCAACAATATTAAAACACAAGGTAAAGAATTTTGGAAGCTTCGAGAAATATAAACAAATACTGATAGTAAATTAGTACTTAGTCATACACAAGTAGGAGGCTACACAAAAGTAGTACACAATTATACATATCATTGTTTTCGCATTACAAATATATCTTGAAGAACAAAACATAGAGCTAAAAGAAACTCCAAAATTACGCAGATCAAAAGTTTTGAGAACAAACAAGACTACCCAATAACATATCATATTCAAATCATGACGCATCAGAAGCTCGGGTTTACATCACCCAATAAGTCTTGATGGGGAATCCGAGTAAATCATCATTTGCTTAATAAAAAATGTGAACTTATAAATAAAATTTTGTAAATTGGCATCCTAAAAATTAAACCTTGGTCATAATTGAGTAAAAACTCAGAAAGACATGTGGGTGTAATAGGTTTATTTTATATAATGTACACGATCCAATTTCAGAGATGAACAAAATGAGAACCTGATCAGGCTGAGCAACATCAGAAAATATGACATCAACCATTCCAACTAACATTCTGTATTTAGCAGGATGTCGGGCATCTTCAATAATGGGAATAACATTGGTACGTTTCTTTGCCATGTTCACCAAATCTCTACCACTTCTGTTTGAAAACTCAACTGCATAGACAACCCCAGTCTAAAGGGCAAAAAAACGAATTACATACACAACCCCAGTCTCAGTGCAGTCACATTCACTGCATCCAACAAGTGAATAAATGATAACCAAAAAAACTTACGGGGCCAATAAGGTCGGAAACATGTGAGACAGTTGTTCCAGAAGCAGCTCCAAGATAAAGAACACGTGCGCCGGGTTTCTGGTAAAAATGTGATGATAAACATGCATTTATACTACAAGATCGAATATGAATATGCTTATATAGTATTCAAACAAGCTTACAATCCAAATTTCATCAACGCCTCCAAGAATTGCAGCGGCCAACTTAGAACGGAAAGGATTCCATACTCTGTACTCAACCTTGGTTCCATCTTCATTCTGTTGAAAGTAACTACATTAAAACTAGATTCTACTAATTCAAAAGTCCATAGATTTTTAAGATATTGCATATAGAGCAAAACAACCAGTTACAACTTCAGTGAAAAACGACATCTGCATGCCCGAATATGTAAAGGTCTATATCAAACAAATTAAGAAAATCAAATTAAAATCAACACAATCACCAACACTGGTACCTGAACGGAAATCCTTTTCTCATTGTAGACAGAGTCGCCAGGTACCAAATTCTTAGTAACAAGTGCATCCTCCTTCCCCTTCGCAATGAACACTCCCTCGTGCCTATGAGGCTCCACAACAACCTTACTCCCTCCTTTCATTCCTCCGCGTCCTCCTCTTCCTCTTCCGCCACCTCTTCCTCCACCTCTTCCGCCACCTCTACCTCCGTCACGTTTCATCGCACTCCCTCTGCCTCCACTGAATGCTCCCCTACCCCTTCCTCGTCCTCCACCTCTGCCGCCGCTAAACCCGCCGCTGCCTCCACGACCTGCGAAAAGAAGAGCATTCCTTAAGACATTCCATATAAATAAGACAAATGAATCAACGGTGAGTATAGCATAAGGTGAATAGAGCTACTACCTCTGGGAGCCATAACCATTGTCACTGGTGCTGAGCTTCTGTGGTAACTGGGACAACTAGGGTTTAGCAAATAGAAGCCGAGGTTAGTTCTGATGAGAAGGGGCGTTTATATACGGGGAATTAGGGCCTTCTAGGGCACCGCATGAAGTACTACATGCCCCCATATTTCAACCTAACAGGACATATTTGTCCTTGTAGCCTTGATTTATCTTTGGGAAAAATTTTCAAATAAGACCAAAAGTCCCCCAAATTCCAAAAATAAGATTAGTAGTTCGCGTAGGATAAAAGTGAAAACATATTGACTCTAATACCTTTAATTAGATATCATACAACCAGGTAACTTGAACAATTCTCAAAACCCGTCACCTATGAATAGTAACATTTGGCAAACAACAGAGAAAGTCGTCAACAGAGGTTTCATCGTTGCCCTTTACACAATCTTCATCGTCGCCCTTCTCATTTGCACGATTCAGATTGATCGACTGGGCCATCACCACTGCCGCCTATCGACTTCGTCGCCGACGCACCAAATCGACAGAGGTTTCTTCTACCTCTTCCTCTTCCTCCTCCTCTTCTTCTTCTTCTTCTTCTTCTTTTCTAATTCTCGACATTGATTTTGTCAATTTCGAGCTTCTATTTCATATTTTCACAAGGCCATCAGGTACTCTGTAAAACTTTTGAATAAACCAGATCCAGAATCAAATTTGCAAACACTAGACAATACATAAACATTAAGTAGTCAGTAAACAGACAATAAGTTCTAATAATAGTTCAATAACAGACAATATATAGACAGTAAGTATTCATTAAATAGACAATAAGTCCTGATAATAACTCAATAACAAAGCAAGTCACGTAAAATCAATCTCCAAGTTCAATATATAATCAGAATGAAAATACGAAACATCATACAAACTTACAGAAGAAATTCGCATCAGGAATGATATTTAACAGCAGAAATTCACAGCAGAAATATTTGTGAAGAAACGTAGACGGTAGAAGTCCAGAGGAAGCTTGAGGAAGGAGCCTTTTAAAAACACACAACACATCTGTCGCCGCCTTATCCCGCCACTGCTCCATCGGACGGAGTAAAGCGGAGATGTCGTTGATTCGCAGGAAAAAGGCGTCGGATAACTCGAAGCCAGAAGCTTCGATTTCGAAGCCGAGCAGTGAAGACGACGAGAATTTCTCCTGGACAGAATTCCTCAAAATATATGCGTTTTCACACGCCTATTTCTCCTAAACAGAATTCCTTCTTTAAAGTTTTAAAAACAAGCAAACTATCTCAAACTTCCAAGATACAAAAAAAAGTAAATTAATTTTGGTATATCTTATGATATGAAAAATCAGTAATAAATTTCGAATGAAAAAACAGTGGAGAGGTGTTTGAGTCAGACATGAAACAGTTTTCAACTGAGAAACCAGAAGACCTTCATTTTTAATCGGATTTAGAATTAAAAATTAAAGCAAAAAGGCAGTAAAAATCACAAGATTGATGATGGATAGTCTACCCGGGGGGTATATATCCGAGGGGTTATTGCTGGGAATAACTTAGAGAGAAGTCAGAGCAAGTAAATGTAGAGAGAGAGAGTGTATTATAAATGCGGGGCGTTTTCAGCGTGGTTACAAATGGGGAAATGGGGTGCTATTTATAGTAGCAATAAATGCCGGACAGGGACACGTGTCAAGCGCTTATTGGCCGAGGGGTCACCTCAACTGGTTGGCGTTGGCAGCCGCATGTGGCCGCATTTAATGCGGCTGTTGGATGGGACGTCTGTGCAGGGTACGGTGATCTGCACGCATGTGAGGCGGATATTATGTCGGGGGAGGTGCCCTCGGCTGCAGAGAACCAGCCGAGGGCTCTTAGTGCTGAGGGCCCCTGAGTGCCGAGGGCTCCAGGTGCCGAGGGCTACTGTTTTCGCCGTTTTCTCCCAGTTCCTTTGTTTGTTCGAAATATCCATGCTGTGATAGTTTGGAGCCTTCGGCCAGGGGGCCGAAGGCACCCCTGGTGCGTATTGTGGGTTGCTTGGTACTCTGGGCGCCGTGATTTGGGCATGTTGGGCCTCCTGGGCCTGTTGGGCCTCCTGGGCCTGTTGGGCCTCTAAAGGAGTAGTAGGAGTCTGTGGGCCGGGTGTTCCCGGGCCATATACTCCATCAGGAGTCCCTCACTCCTTTTGCCGAAAGGTATTTGAGGGAAAAGGAGTAATTTGTGCTTGCTCTTTGATGTTGTCCTGTCGTAATCTCTGAAGTTGGTGAGGAGTTGTTGTTTTCATGTCCCTGTCGAAGGCAGTCCCTCAGTTACCCACATGTCGGGACTTGAGGGCTTGCTTTGTCGTTTGTTGGAATTTCACTAATTTTGTAATTTAATGTTTTTCCCGAGGGGGTTCCCTAGTCCCCCACTCCTTGAGACACTTGTAAAGTGGTGAAAAGGAGTAAAGTAGTTGCGTTGTTGTTGATTAGCCGAAGGCTGACGCTTTTCGTTTCATTTTGGGGGGATGCCTCATTAAAAACCTCATTAGGAAAAACCCTGTGGGAAAGAATCCTAATGAGGGAAAAAGAGTGCACCGAATTCCCCCAACGATGAATCGAAAATGTGAAACCTTGGTCGAAAGTGGAAAATAACGGTAATGCCGAAGGCTCTCTTTTCTGAGGGCTCATGTGTTGATCAGCCGAAGGCTTGCTGTTGATGTCCTGGGGGTGCCGAAGGGAGCCCCTCAATCTGGGGATCGAGGGCATGATGGATGAGGGCAGTAATTGAATTGTCGCCGGGGGGGGTCCCTTGCTTGCTGGTTAGTTGGTGATGAGGATACCCGAGGGCTCCCATTACCTGCGTGCTGTAGGCTATCCGTCAATGAGGCAACTCCCCGGGGGCTATCCGGTTTTACAGTGCTGAGGGGGAATCCCCGAGGGGTGCCCTGATATGAAGCCTTGGGTTTCTGAAAGAGTGATCCCGAAGGCGTCTGTTATGTGCTGTGTGGGGCACAACCCGGGGGCGCTTCTGGGTAAGTGTACCCGGAGGCTCTCCTTGATGAAGTGGAGTGAAGTAGAAAACCCGGGGGCTTCCAGAATATAGCCGTTGGAAATATAGCCGTTGGAATATGTAACGTCAGGTTTATAGCCGTTGGGGGGGTACACGTGGCGTGTGACGGCTGGCTGTCCGTGGGCGGCATCACTGGTTGGGCGAAGACGCGGTGTGCAATGATGGCGTCCATCCGGAGGCCCAGTTTTCGGGCCCAAGCCCGGACTCTGGGGTCTATAAATACCCCGGAGCCAGAGCCATTTCTTCTTGCGCGATCATCTGTCCCAGCGAAGCTCTGCCGGAATTATTCTAGAGAGAGAAAATCACCCTCGATCATAGCAACCTTCAGAGGTCAGTTCTCCCTTCGTTCCTCACCGTTTTTCGTTAGCTTTTGCTCCCTGGCCTTAGGTTAGGTGTCATAGCCTTGTAGAGAACCCTCGATTTAGGAATCTTAGCCTAAGTACACCAAGGATGTCGTCCCAAAGCGACTCGCAGAATATCTCGAGGGAGCCCTCGGTTGAGGACGAGGTTGCTTCCGATGTTGAGTCAAGTAGCAGTGCGCCCTCGGTTGCTGATGACGAAGCCGTGGCCTTGGAGTTGCAGAAGGCCCTTGCTGCTGAAGTGGAAGCCGAGGGCTTCGAACAGGAGTGCGAAGATGAAGAATTAGCCCTCGCGTATCAGGTGGCGGAGGACGAAGCCCAAAAGGAGGCGATGACGGTTACTGTTGCTGTGCCACCCCCTCGGACTGACTGTGGTGAGCCTAGTACCTCCAGGCCGTTGGACCCGACGCCTCTGAGAACAGCCCCCGGTAAAAAGAAGATGAAGTCGCAGAGGGCTGCCCCCAAGAAGAAGGGTGTTGCCGTTGGTGCTGGGGGGGTTGTTGAAATGCCAGAGGGGTATACCTGGCTAAACACCAAGGCCCTCGATATCAAGTCGAAGGCGGACATGGCTGATTTGTACGTCACGCAGCTGTACATTGGGCCCTCGGCCGTAGTGGTGGAGCCAGGCGTCGATGATCTACTGTCTCGGCCACCCGAGGGATGCATTGCCGTCCACATCCTGTCGGTGTCAATGGGCCTCCGGTTCCCCCTGCACCCATTTCTCTGGGAGTACCTCAGGTTCGTTGGACTCATCCCTTGCCAACTTACCCCCAACAGCCATTCATACATTGCTGGCTTTCTGCACCTGTGCCGGACGAGGGATGTTACCCCAAGCTTGGACCTCTTCTTCCAAAGCTTCAACTTGTGCCGAGGGGGGCACGCGAATGCCGAGGGCTTCGCCAATTTGCAGCAGGTAGCAAAGTTCAAGCTGTTCACCGAGGCGCCCTCGTTCAACAAGGGCTGGAAAGACAGATGGTGCTACGTCCGGTTGGCCGAGAACCCCTTCCCGAGGGAGCTACGGGACCGCTTTCGGCGCCACGAGAGGGTGGGGAGTATCGCCCTAGAGAAGGATGGCCTGAAACTCGCCAAGATCCCGGAGGGCAAGAAGAAGGTCGTGACGATCAAAGAATGCACTTTTGAGGATGACTTACATTCCCTCGGGTTCCAACGGTACCGGTTCATCGGGGAAACAGACGAGAAGTACCCCGTCTTCGCTGAGGCCTTCGGGGGAGCAGGAGGTAGTCTACGAGGGCCCTTAGTCTTGTACTTAGGCATTCTCATTTTGCATCCCAATAGTTGTTTGCGGTATGAATCCTTCGGGTTAATATTCTCTTTGCATTGTTTTGCAGGTATGGAGGCTCTCTTCGCAATGAAAAAGATGAAGGAGAGGGCGCAGGCCCAGAAGAAGGAGAAGAAGGAGCCCTCGGGTCAAAAGCCCATTGATGAGTTTTTCCCGAAGGAGGCTGCGGAGCCTTCAGTTGCTGCTGCTCCCGCTACTGTGGCCTGGATCTTCTCGGGATTGGCCTCAATACCCCTTCGGCTCACCATGTAGCCCAAGAACTTGCCCCCTTGGACGCCGAAGGTGCACTTCTTCGGGTTTAGCCGAAGGTTGAATTTTTGCATGATGGCGAAGATCTCCCGTAGGTCGTCAGCATGGCTGGAAGATTGTTTGCTCTTGACGATCATGTCGTAAACATAGGCCTCCATGGTGCGCCCTAGGACGGCTTGAAAGACCCGGGCCACCATC